GTCCTATGTTAAACTAAGTCCCCCGCTGGCGGCCATCTTGGATGATGGATCCACTGCAAAGTAACAACACTTGGTCAGCACCTCATAAGGAACATTCATGCCATGTTTGGTTTCATTCCATTCAGTGGTTCTCTAAAAGAAGTCATTTGTATGCATTTCCCATAGGGTCCTATGTTAAACTAAGTCCCCCGCTGGCGGCCATCTTGAATGATGGATCGGCTACAAAGTAACAACACTTGGTCAGCACCTCATAAGGAACATTCATGCCATGTTTGGTTTCATTCCATTCAGTGGTTCTCTAGAAGAAGTTCAAAATGTAAAAAGTTAACGCCGATGACGGACGACGCTGGACGACGCCGGACGACGGACGCCAAGTGATGAGAAAAGCTCACTTGGCCCTTCAGGCCAGGTGAGCTAAAAACTGCAAAATTTTGTTAAAACTACCAATTCGGTGGCAGCAAACCAACAATGGGTTGTTCAATTCGTCTGATAATTTCAGGGCCGATTGATCTTGACCAATTAAACAAATTGACCCCTATGTTCTATTTTTAGCCATGGCGGCCATGGTTGTAGATGGATCAAAACATCGCATACAATTTATAAACTAGATACCCTAAGGAACATTTAGTTAAAGTTTGAAGGTATTTGGCCCAGTAGTTTCAGAGGAGAAGATTTTTGAAATAGTTTACGACGACAGACGATGACGACAGACGACAATGACGGACGACGACGGATGCCAAGTGATGGCATAAGCTCACATGGGGCCCTTCAGGCCCCGGTGAGCTAAAAATGACCCAACACATTTTTTACCTCATTTACTAGAGAGCTTTTATTGTATTTTGATATATCTGACTTTGAATCCTGACAAACAGTTTTTAAAAGCTCGTCTTACTTCAAATCTGAGTTTTCTTTGCAAAAAACTGATTCACATAATAAATTAGAATTTTGTCTCCTGGCCTTAGATTTAAAACTGCAATACATGTACTTGCCAAAACTGCTGAATCTAGAAAACATTCCATTGTTATCTAATTAAGAGCACAAGCCTTGTCCAAAAAGATATTTTGCCATAGGGTGTCCTATACAAAATTGTTAAATATCTTTTGGGTACAGCTAATATTAATTTTACACAAAACTATACGTAAAATCACTATTTTTTGAAACCTTTCACAAAAAGTTCTTTTGCTATATGTCTTTCACATATACTTTTGAGCAACACAAACCCAACCAAAAACTTTGGTGTTAAGGTGTTCTGGAAGGGTGAGCAGATCTTGCTCCACATGAGGCACTAGTCGTGTTGCTCCTGAGGATGGCACAAGGTTATTTTCTATGGATAAGTTTGTGAATTCCCTCGAATTCTGTTGAGTTGTTTAAGAGTTAAGGTCATATATCCAGAATAAATATCACTGAATCCTATCAGTCCTTTTTAAATATGGAAGGCTCCATAATAGATTGTAAGTATTTGATCAGAGTGCCATTTCTGGCAAATTGTAGGTGTCCTGTCACATTATAACTAGCATAACTTTCTTTTTTTTTTTTCCAGACTATAATATTGTAAAACAATAGAAAAGAGCAAAATAATGGTTCTTTTCATACCTTCTCCTTTCACATTATAAAAAGCATCTTCCAAATTTCTTTTATGTAAAGTAAAATTTAACATGTACAGTAAAATAATTTCTAAATTAATTAATTGATGTAAAATACTGTGGATATCCTTCATTTCATGGGTACTAATTTTCAGGGATTAAAGAAAATTGTATTTTCATTGATATTTGATTTTATGGTTTTGACAAATCTGCATAGAACAAGCCTACCGGAAATTTGTTTTTTTGTTGAAAACTATAAAATTCATGGTTCATCTTTATCAGAGAAATCTTTGAAAATTAGTGGCCATGAAGTATAATGAACCCACAATACACATTTTCAAGATATTAAATTTGTAATTAGTGTCAAATGTAATTATAATACAGCCATAGTACTTTGATGCAAGTTAATCCTGTTTCAAAGACCAATACAATTGGCAGTAGTACAGAGCTAGTGTGAGATGTGTACATATACAGTAAAAGTTTATCAGTATATGCATTCATAATTGTAAATTAATGGATAAAAATGAAAAATTAATTAAAATAACTTTTAAAAATGTCATATACAAATAATATGATCATAATGAAGACTGTAAGTTCTAATAAATGCAATACTAATCCCTGCACTTGTTTGCAATAAAAGAAAAACATGGCAAAAATTTAACAGTAGCAAATTATCTATTAGGGTATTAAATGTACAAGCATTTCAAGCTTCACACTGGAGTTAGATTCCATGTAAAATGGCCATATTTGTACAAATAAAATATTAAAATCAAAGTGCTTGTGAGCACTGAAGGGTAAAGATTGCTTTTATTTTCAATTTTGTGAATTTTGAAATAAAACACTGAATTGTATTTTGCTAGGCAAACTAAAAATTTGAGTTGGAGTTATCGTCCTTGGTTCGTGATTGTACATTTGTAGTTGAACCTATTTGTATAACAGATTCATACACCATGCATTACTTAAATGTAATTTAAAAAAAAAATGTTTTCTTGACAAGTATGATAATTCGTGTACACATCATATTGTAACTAAAATATCAAGTATAACATATCATCAACAAATTGCATGACCTTGACTGGTTAGAATCTAAATAATGATTACTTCACTGCACTATTTTGTTTGAACTATCAAAGGTAGTGATAAACCTTGGAAGATATAGATATAAAGTCAGTAACATAGGGTTTTGATGGCATTTCATGCCATCTTTACCCCAAAAATTAACATGGCATAAACCATGGCAAGTTTCCTTTATTTTGCATTGAATCCACACTACTTGACAGGAAGGAATATATATTGCACCCAATTGTAATTTTAGAGTCAATTCAGGATTCAGAAAATAATTATCAAAGGTGATATTATAGCAATATACCTTGGTAAATAATGATTTCCTGTTTAAGATCATTAAAGCTTCACAGCAAAACTAAAACTATTGTTTTATAAACTTCCATATTACTGCATGTATATAAACATGGATATCAATTTTTAAGTACTTTTTTTTAGCTTACCTAACTATTAATATAATAATTAAACAATTTAATTACATATACCTCAGCATCAGTTGACCATGACCACAAAATTTCATTCAATATATTGAAAAATTCAAAGTATTGGCAAACAGGAAATAGGTATCTAAAAGATTTAAAAGGAGATCACAAGTTACAAGACATCACTGTAAAGCTGCTGACCAAATATAAGGTCTTTCTTTACAGTAGTTTCTAAGAAAAGTGTGAAGAAAATATGTGTTGGAGTAATGGATAAAAGGACAAATGGGAGGACAGACAGAATAGTTGATTACAATATTGCCCCCACTCCAAGTGTGGATGTTTAAATAACAATAAAATGCATAATAAAGTGTAAAGTAATGTTTTGGATACAAAAAATTGCAACTTTATAACTAAAGATTCCCAGACACCCATATTAAAAAAAATTTAACACTGAAAAAATCAAATTTAACCAAAACAATGATTTACAATGTACAATGAACAAGAATATTTCATGAACAAACATGTCAGACATGATTAATAAATTAAACATGAAAGGCACCATTCAACAGCTTCAAGCATGATTTCAGCGGAAAATAACATTATTTTCATGAGTTTATTTTTCCCAATAAACAATGTAGAATATATTAAAACATACTGTGGATTAATTTATTTTCGTTGGTACCAATTTTCACGTTTTTTTTTTTATTTTATAGATTTGCCAGAGTCTGCATTACAAGCCTACAGAAAAATTGATACTTCATTGAACATTTAAAACTGTGGTTAACTTTTTCCCACAAAATCAACAAAAAATAATAATGAATCCACATTAGTAAGCCATGTGTGCTTCTTATAAAGTTTTTTTTTTTAATAAAATTTTTGTTGGTAAAGGATGTATAGAAATGAATGTTAAATGCATCAAAAAATATCAGAAATAACAAGAATTGGGGAAAATAATTTACAAGAATTGATTTAAAATTAAAGTTTTGAACAATGCTAATTGGTGAATTGTTATTGCTGGGCAACGTTTTTATTGAAGAGGCTACAAAATATAAGGTAATTGTTGAAAACGTTTGAAGTGAATACCCTTATGAGAGATAATTCACAAGGAATTCTCCACAAAGTTTGTTAGGGCATTTTAAAAAATTGACAAAAAAGAGGTGTGTGTGTTTGTTAGGTAGGGGGGTCTAACGTATATAAAACTGGTGGTGGGAAATAAATGGGTTCAAGGTATAATAAAATGCTCCGCTGGGGCGCAGCTTGATACGACCGCAGAGGTCGAACCCTGAACAGTTGGGGCAAGTATGGACACAACATTCAAGCTTGATACAGCTCTGAATTTGGATTGTGATTAAATATTTGACACAGCATAGGTTTCTAACACAGAATGAATGTGGTCTAAGAACTTGAAAAATTTTAATTTACCTATTCAAACCATATCATTATTATTTGCTTTTATATATAAATCAGAAATAACCAATTTAAAATGGAAAATTTTAAAGAAAAAAAAAAGGAAAAAAAAGGAAAAAAATCCCCCCCCCAAAACTTTTTGAACCCCCTTATGATTCATCACCCCAAAACTCAATGACAGCCTTCCCTTTGTGGTATGGTACCTTGCAGTACAATTTCAGAGAGATCCATACACTTGAACACAAGTTATTGTCTGGAAACTAGAAAAATGCTTGTTTTTTGGCCCTTTTTTGGCCCCAAATTCCTAAACGTTTATGGCAATTACCCCATAACTCAAACCCAGCTTTCCCTTTGTGATATGGAATTTTGTAGTACAATTTCATAAAGATCCATACACTTACACACAAGTTATTGTCCTGAAACTAGAAAAATGCTGGTTTTTTGCCCCTTTTTGGCCCCTAATTCCTAAAATTTTGAGGCAATTACCCCCAAATTCAATCCCAGCACTCCCTTTGTGATATGGAACCTTGTGGTACAATGTCAGAGAGATCCATACCCTAACACACAAGTTATGTCTGGAAGTTACAAAAATGCTTATTTTTGGCCCCTAATTCCTTTACTGTTGGTACCATAACCCCCAAAATCAATCCCAACCTTCCTTTTGTGGTATTGAACCTTATGGTAAAATTTCATAGAGATCCATTCACTTAAACTAAAGTTAGAGTGCGAAAACCAATGTGTCTTCGGACGTCGCCGACGACACCAACGTCATACCAATATACGACCACAAAACTTTTTTGCGGTCGTATAAAAAGGTATAAAAAGATAATAAACTAATCAATGAAAATTTCTTTGTACGGTAGGGTAAACACATTGTGCCTCCTGACAATTCCTCACTCCCAATTACATTCATTTCTAGAAAACCCTTACCTGGAAGAAACAGAAATTATATACTTGACATATATGTACAGCTTTATCATATTTACATTGTTATACAAGCAAGTCATATATCAACATACAAGATCTTTGGTTTTTGTACATTTAAATAATCTAAATCATAGCAAAATATCACAAATATTAAGCACCATGTTTTCTTAATATATGATATAGGTTCATCTGTATTTCTATAGTATTATATTATGACAAATATCACATATATAGTCCAGGATTAAACAAACCAGTGAATTTCATATGTTTTTCACGATTCAGTGAACGCCATATCTTAATAGTGCAGTCATCACTAACAGTAACTAAAATTTCTGAGTCGCTCGGACTGAATGCTACACAGTTTACTACGTCTTCATGACGAAACTTACTAAGACAAACTCCATAATGGCGATCCCATATATATCCATGTTTATCTTCAGCTCCACTGGAAAAGATAATTATATCGAATTAACAATATGCTGAATCCAAAGACCAATAAAAAGAAATAAAAAAAAAAATCCCACACAATCTTTAAATGGAGAGACTACAAATACTTCTGTCAAAGAAAAAATAACTTTTATAAGGAAATCAGAACTAAAGAATAAGGAGTCTGAACACCTTGCTCAAAAGAAAATAGTTTCTGATACAAATTAAGCAACAGATGATTTTGGTTTCATCAATCAAAAAATCTTTCAAATCTTTTTGCGCTGTAAGGTATTTCAAGGAGATTAGTATTGAAAATTGGCCAATCAGAATAAATAAATTGCTTTGCCGAGCGCAGCTGGATACGACCACAAAGGTCCAACCCTGAACAGTTGGGGCAAAAATTGACACAATATTCGCGCTTGATACAGGTCTGAATTTTGATTGTAATTCAATATTTGACACATATTAGGTTTCTGACACAGAATAACTGTAGTCAAAGAACTTAGAATTGGTTATATGATTTGAATTTATATTCAATTTTTTGCTTATGGGCAATACACTATGCTGTTGCCAATTGACCTCCCCCCCCCTTTTTTTCAAAAAAAAAAAATTGAAGGATTTTCTTTTTGACTTCTGAAATCTTGAGGAGAAAAAATTGTCCCCCCCCCAATTTTTTTTTAACCTCCTCCCCCCCCCCCCCCCTCTTTTTCCAAAAAAAAATTCTTTCCCTCAGTCATGGTCATAATTTCAATTCAAATTTCCATGGAGTTTGCAACCATAACAACCCATTTAAATACATCATAAAAGTCTTAAAATAGAAAATGACTTACATAATCATAGCTAAATATAATTAACCTTGATCAGAATTTTTAAAATTATTAAAATAGTAACTACTAAAAATTCGTAAGGGTTCCGCGGAACCCAGTGTCTCGCCTACTTTTTCTGTTAATCGCAGGCTCAATAAAAATATTCCTCTTGATACTATCTTTTGATTGAAAGAAGCTTCTGTCCAAGTTTGGTAAAAATCTAGGATAGTTTATGAATCTAATAAATGTTTAAAAACTTTAACTGCAGACTGAATGTAATGTTAACTGGAAGAAAACAAAATTTCCTTCTAGATACTAGCATTTGATCATAAACAAGCTTCTGTCCAAGTTTGGTACAAATCCAAAATAGTATAAGAAAGTTATTAAAATTTTAAAAACTTTAACCACAGAGTGAATATGTTGTTTCCTGGCAGAAAATCTAAGTCCATTTAAAAGTAAAATACGGAAAAAATGGATTTATTTTTTTACAAAATTTCCTTCTAGATACTAGCTTTTGATCATAAACAAGCTTCTGTCCAAGTTTGGTACAAATCCAAAATAGTATAAGAAAGTTATTAAAATTTTAAAAACTTTATCCACAGAGTGAATGTGTTGTTTCCTGGCAGAAAATCTAAGTCCATTTAAAAGTAAAATAAGGAAAAAATGGATTTATTTTTTTACAAAATTTACTTCTAGATACTATCTTGTGATCATAAACAAGCTTCTGTCCAAGTTTTTCAAAAACTTTAACCACAGCATGAATATTTGTGGACGCCGCCGACGACGACGGAAAGTAGGATCGCTTTGTCTCGCTTTTTCGACTAAAGTCGAAGGCTCGACAAAAATGAATTGACAGCTAATCACCTCAAGACAATAAAAAAATTCTTTATACACAATTTAACTACGACGATGACGCCGACGTCAAACCAATATACGACCGCAAAATTTTTTTGCAGTCGTATAAAAATTGTCATTGGTGGGCATGTTTTACATTGGATAAGAATCAAATGAGAACTGTTAGTAGAAGACCTTCAGTACAACATTCCTGGAAATTTTGATGAAAGTCGGAAGGAATAACTGTTTTTCTTTTTTTTAGGTTTGTGTAATATTATGAGTACAAATTAGCCTTTTCAATAGTCGTCTGGCGCGAAAAGGACAATAATCAATTTTAGAATTTAATATTTTCGGAGACGGTCAATTTCCGGATTTGCATGCTTTATCATCATGTTTTTTTCTTTGGCCGTCGATGATGACACTATTGCTGCATTCTTTGACAATAAGGTATATTTAACAAGACAGTATTATCAATGTATTATCGTGGTATCAATATATGTTAGCAATGTTAGATACCAGAATTAATTGTTATTTTGGCAAGGACAATTCATCACTTCCCCTGAAAACATGATTTTGTACAAGTTCACTTATTAGCATCTCTGGGCGGCTAAGCAGATCAATTTCCTGATGATTTTTACTACGGCATTCTGATTTTTATTAATTGCTACATATTAACGCTTTTTTTAAATCAATTTTTGTTTATATTATCAACAAATAAGAGTAACATACCTCTGCGGTCGTATCAAGCTGTGCCCAGCGGAGCATTTTATTTAAAAATGTTTATAGGTTAATCTCAATAACAGACACCAAGTGATGTCAATAGATTAAAAAGCTGGTCTATGGATTCAAGTGAGCACGCTTTAACCAGTTTGAAGGACATATGAAGAAATAACATTAAGTTTACTGGAAAAAAATATTCAGTAAAATCATTTAAAAAACTTTAAGTTAAGAAATGCTTGTATGCATCTATTATAGCTGTTTTTGAACAATGGACAAAAATGAGAAATTAATTATTGGGATTTAAGCAATTGCTGCGTACAAATAGTGCTACCAAAATTTTAAATGTAAGTTTTTATTTTTTGCTATTAAACTATCTTGTCACAAATTTCCCAAAAATAAAAACATAGCAAAATATTTTTGAATTTACAGTATCAAGCATCCTTTTAAAATGGGAATTTTAAGCATTTTGGAAGGACAAAGTCTTTCCCAAAAATAAACATGGCATCTTATTTGTCACTATGTAGCATATTTTAACTGATGACACCAATATGAGAGGGTTTATGTTACCACTTCCCTAACAGAGGTGATCATTCCACTATGGTTAAAAAACAGAAATGCAATGTCTTTAATTGAATCAATATTTTTGTGGACAATTTACCTGGCAACATACTGCTGACTAACATCCAGGAAAATGAAGAAACATTCATCATTAGGAGTGTAAGCTTTGTGTGCTCTATACATTGTACCAACTTCTGTCAATCTCAGTAAGTCTATCACATGGATATCAATCTCCTGAGCAATAGGTGGTGGAGCTAATGGATTTTGTATGTCATAATCCTTTGGCCAAGGTCGACAGTTCACATACAGGTACCTGCAATATCGATCAGAATTAGTTCACTTAGCCGCACACTGAGCCATATATATATATATATATATATATATATACAAGTCTAGAGATTTGCACAACGATACTAATATAAGATGGTATTATACGAAGATGTTGTTAATAAATCGTGTTGACAAATATTTCGGCTTAACAAATAGCCTTCTTCGGTGTCAATTATTTTAACAATACTGATAATATGTATAAAAATAGCTCAATAATACAGGTAAGTTTTGGTCTATTGATTTAATCCAAAATCCTGAACATCATAATATAAAACAAAACTCAATACTCAAATATACGTGACTGTGTATATTTACAACCCAAAATGAGTAAAAAATAAAACTTAGTATTTTTTATTGATGCCGTTTGGATGATGTACATTTAGTTCCTTTATCCAAAAGCTTTCCCGAACCTGTCGCTGGGCATCACTCCAGTGAATGTTCTGTTCAATCACTAGGATCTTCATGCGGTTAAAGTCATCAAGTGTGTGACCAGATTGTCTGAAATGCTGAGAAACTGGGAGAAGTGGCTTCTTAGAGATATCACTCCTATGGCCATTGAGGCGTTTGTGGAAAGGCTGCTTTGACTCACCAACATATTGGAGGCCACAAACCGAACATTCTAGAATGTAAATAACATTCATACTTTTGCAGTTAACATTGCAAAATATCTTATAGTTATTTTCGGTTGCCTTACTGTGAAAAGTTGATGAGTGATGCATCTGTAGGCAGCATTTGCAGCGTTTTTCATCACACGAACGACATTCTCCAGAAGTACTTCTGTTATCAGACACTTCAGCCCGCACCAGCAGGTTACGCAGACTATTGGGTTGCCTAAAAGCTATCATGGGAGGCTCGGGAAAAATCTTGGATAGTTTGGAATTCTTTTCAACTGTTTTCCAATGCTCACGAATGACACCGAAGCTGTTTTTGAGAGATGGGTGGTAAGTAAGAACACATGGAGTCCTTTTATTTTTCTTTTTATATTTGTATTCTAACAGTTTACTCCTTGGAATAGTTTCCGCTTTCTGAAAGCCTTTTTGGATAGTTTTGTGTTTGTAGCCCCTTCTCTTCAAGCGGGTTTCGAGTTGACCTAGTTGTTTTTTAGTTGTTTCTGAGTTGGAACATATTCGCTTGACTCTGAGTGCCTGACTGTACGGGATGCTCTTAGTACAATGAGCAGGATGGCAACTTTTAGGGGACAGATATTGGTGAGTGTCAGTAGGCTTAGAATATAGATCAGTGGATATGATGCCATCTGTGAGCGAGCTGGAGGTATCGAGGAAGGTGATTTTGGATTTAGATTTCTCATGAGTAAATTTGATACTTGGATGTATGTTGTTGGCATGAGTGATGAATGTATCTAAATCCTCGTCACTTTTATTCCATTTCATATCCACATCATCTATAAATCTAAACCAGGAAAGCGGTTTTTCGGTGGAAGATTCAAGGAGTTGTTTTTCTAATTTGCCCATAAATATGTTGGCATATGATGGAGCCATTTTGGTGCCCATAGCAGTTCCATTAACTTGCAGATAATGGTCTCCATCAAAAGTGAAGTTGTTGTTTTTGAGTACCAGCGTGAGCATTTTGACCAGGCATTCAGTAGGTGGATATTTCACTGGTCGGGAATTCCAAACTTCTTTACATGCATCAATGCCATCTGCATGTGGAATATTCGTGTAGAGGGAGGTGACGTCCATAGAGACAAGTGTCGTGTCGGAGGGGAGTGGATTTAAGGCCTGCAATTTTCTAAGATAATCGGTAGTATCTTTGATGTGAGATGGTAAGTCCTCAACATGTTGACGAAGATGGAAGTCAACGAATTCCGATATTTTTTCCGTCGGATGACCGTTCGCTGAAACTATAGGTCTTCCTGGGTTATTGGCCTTATGAATTTTAGGTAAAAGATAAAATCTGCCCGGTTTTGGATTTTCTGGTTTCAAATATTCTAGAGTCTTTTCATCGATGAAACCATCGTTGTGCATTTCTACCAAACTATCAGTTATTTCTCTGCTAAAAGATGTTGTAGGATCAGAGTCTAGTTTTTGGTAGAACCTTGCATCGCCAAGTTGTCGTTCAGCCTCTTGAATATAGGCAGATTTATCCATGACAACCACTGCACTGCCTTTGTCTGCAGGTTTAATGACGATATTGTCGTTAGATCGTAAGTTTTTCAGTGCAGTTCGTTCTTCATTGGTAAGATTGTCAAAAGGTTTATTGTTATTTCTAGTATTTCTAATAATGTCCGACTTAAAATTGTCAATAAATGATTCCAAGGTGGCATTTTTGCTCGGTTTAGGGATCCAAGTACTCTTTTTTATAAATTTGTAGTTGTTTTCGTCTTCTGAAATTTCTGAGTCGCTATCCGAGCATCTGTTGTTGTTCTCCTTCGACGCGAAATATTCCTTAATGCGTAGACTTCTGGCAAAATTGTCAAGGTCTTCCGACAATTTAGTTTCATTGACAGGGGCAGGTAAAGGACAGAAATTTAAGCCTCTCGAGAGAAGAGATGTTTCAGCTTCCGTTAACTGGTGTTTGGAAAGATTGACCACAATGTTGGAGGGCGAATCAGTCTCTAGTGACCTACGTTTAAAGCGCCTTACTCGTTTTCTCTTTTTTTCAGATGGTAAAGAAGGATTGATATGTTCTATGCCATCCCTACGGAATTTTCTTTTCTGCCTTTCACTCAAATTTTGAGATTGTATGGTTGTTATGTCTTTAAGGCGAGCACTGATAGCATCACAATTGTCAGATGTGAGATCTTTTTTGCAGCTATTTGAAAGGATGTTAAATTCGCCAGTAAGAGTTTTCAGATATTCTTCGCAGTGTTGTTTGAGGAGGACCATTAACCGCTTGGAACAATGGTAGAGGGTTTGATCCCATTCACTGCGAAGAATATCTGAAAACTCTTACTGGCGAATTTAACATCCTTTCACTACAAAAGTCAAAAAGTCTGAAAAGACCAGTTTTTGTCTGAATTTGCATGAATTTTTACTCAACATTCTTAATTTGTCTGAATAATTTTTAAAAATTCTTGACATAGTATGAATTTGTCTAATAAGGTTCTTGATTTTTCTTGACAAGTGTCTTGACAGTATGAACATTGTCTTAAAATTTCTAGACACTTCCTGTATCATCTGATAAGAGTCTGGATTAGTCTCGACCAATTCTTGACTGTCTTAAATTTGTCTCAATCTGTCTCGACATATTCTTGACATTCTAAATAATGTCTGAATATGTCTCGACATATTCTTGACAGTCTTAAATATGTCTTGACACTATCTCAACAGTATAAATTTCGCCTGAAATGTGAACAGACTTATTCTGCACTGTTTATGACATTCTATTGCTGTTATATACACCTTTTTATTATGGCTAAACTAAACTTTGAAGAATCAAGGACTAATTTGGTATAGTAAGATACCCTTTTGGTGCAACTAAGTTGGAATACCCTGAATAATCCCCCATGTAGTTTAATTTTGATTTATTTTTATTAAATATTTAAGTAATTGTTTTCACTTGGAATATAAGTCGGAGGTATTGATAAACAGCATTTAGATTTTTGCCGTCGCAAAACTGCCAGTCAAATTTGCTTTACTAAAATAGGTGTCTTGTATCTCTTTTGGACCCCACAATTCATCTTTTGGGTTTGTGTGGCTAAAAAAAAAGGGGGGGCTTTCGTTTTTGTCCTGTGACTTTTTGTCCGTGACTTTTTGTCTGTGACTTTTTGTCCTGTGACTTTCTGTCCTACATTCGTTCTAAAAAATGAATAAGGTTTTTGAATCAAGATGGGAACAAATTCTTTGACCTAAACGAAAGCCCCCCTCTTTTTTTAGCCACACAAACCCAAAAGATGAATTGTGGGGTCCAAAAGAGATACAAGACACCTATTTCAGTAAAGCAAATTTGACTGGCAGTTTTGCGAACGGCAAAAATCTAAATGCTGTTTGTCAAGAATGTAGGACAGAAAGTCACAGGACAAAGAGTCACAGACAAAAAGTCACGGACAAAAAGTCACAGGACAAAAAGTCACAGTTCAGTTTTGAGATTATTTTTCTTTAAACAAGAAAACACTAATTTAAAAAATAAAATTTTTGTTTTTTCTTGAACTATTATATATGAAGCAACTTTGTAATTAAAATTTATTCAATAAATATCAATAATGATTAAATAATTGTTTGAAAACAAAATGTCAAAGTGGCTTGGTACTTAAATGGCTTCATTGTGCCAAGAAATATATCCTTTGCATGATTAAAATTTGATAAATTTTCATTTATCAAGGCTTATGAACAATTTCCTAAACTTAAAAATGAATATATGTAATAAAAAGAAAATATTTCAAGATCTTTCTCTTATATAGTCAAACAATTGTCAACAAATTATTTGTGACTTTTTGTCCTGTGACTTTTTGTCCTATCAAATTTGTGACTTTATGTCCTGTGACTTTTTGTCCTGTGACTTTCTGTCAGTTTACCTTTAGAACAACCCAAAAACATTTTTTTATTCAAATTTGAGTGTTGAATTTTATAATTTTTTATCAAAAATAAATATTTGTGATAACTCCTTCCTGAAAAGAAAAAAATGTTTAGATCTATATTATGCATGTCTGTTTGAGAACCATTTCATAAGACCGATGATTTCTATAGAAATCATTGATGGGACCCATTAAAAATACATTTTTTTTATTATTCCTGGAGTAGATAATAATTTTCTTTTAATCTTTGGGAATTACTCAATTTGTTTTTATGTTAAAATAATTAACTTCATAATTTTGATGAAGAAAATCCATTTCAATTCAATTTTTTTCCATCAAAATGATGATTTTCATTTTCATCTATCAACAAACTTTTTAAATTGTAGTGGCATGGTCGGTCAACTGATAAGTTGTATGGCTGATTACAGGTAAAGCAATAACATCTATTTGACAGTTGTGTGTACTCTGGGGTGTGGAATACCTTAATTTTATGGGGAACATCCTGTCCATGTGTAATACTTAATATATTCCAACAGATGACATTACACAAATTTTTCTTCTGTTAAATGAATGATTTGTATATCATCATAATTTGCTATTTATATAAACCACATTTTGGTATAATAATTATTTACCATATCAACATTGAATATTATGAATGTAGAATGAAATATGTCTACAGTATGATTGGTTTGAATCATTTAATTTATAAGATTTAGGAATCAAAATTTGTAATTATTTAAAAACCCACATTGAAATTGTTTTATATCAACACACCCAAATTTGAATTATTTTATACTTTAGATTTCATAGCCATATTTGCATTTGTAAAAATATTTATATACCCAAATTTTCAATTATTTTACATGCCCAACTTTTATTTTTGTTGTAAAGAAGTGTAACTTGAAACAACAGTATATCATATAAAGAGAAATAAAGATTAAAGTTATATCATGAATATTGGTCATGATTTGTAAAACTCAGAACTGTCAAGTAAATTTAAGACACAATTCAAAATGTTCAGAATATGTCAAGCCATACTGAGAAAAAATAAGAATGTCGAGAATATGTCGAGAAATTTCAAGACAGTATTCAAATGTCAAGAATTTGTCAAGAAATTTTAAGACCATATTCAGAATGTCGAGAATATGTCGAGTAAATTTCATACAAATTTAATATAAATGAGAATTTGTCAAGAAAAATTAAGACACAAGTCATACTTTTGGAGAATGTCGAGTAAAAGTTCATGCAAATTAAGACAAAAACTGGTCTTTTCAGACTTTTAGACTTTTGTAGTGTTTCAAATAGCTGCAAAAAAGATCTCACATCTGACAATTGTGATGCTATCAGTGCTCGCCTTAAAGACATAACAACCATACAATCTCAAAATTTGAGTGAAAGGCAGAAAAGAAAATTCCGTAGGGATGGCATAGAACATATCAATCCTTCTTTACCATCTGAAAAAAAGAGAAAACGAGTAAGGCGCTTTAAACGTAGGTCACTAGAGACTGATTCGCCCTCCAACATTGTGGTCAATCTTTCCAAACACCAGTTAACGGAAGCTGAAACATCTCTTCTCTCGAGAGGCTTAAATTTCTGTCCTTTACCTGCCCCTGTCAATGAAACTAAATTGTCGGAAGACCTTGACAATTTTGCCAGAAGTCTACGCATTAAGGAATATTTCGCGTCGAAGGAGAACAACAACAGATGCTCGGATAGCGACTCAGAAATTTCAGAAGACGAAAACAACTACAAATTTATAAAAAAGAGTACTTGGATCCCTAAACCGAGCAAAAATGCCACCTTGGAATCATTTATTGACAATTTTAAGTCGGACATTATTAGAAATACTAGAAATAACAATAAACCTTTTGACAATCTTACCAATGAAGAACGAACTGCACTGAAAAACTTACGATCTAACGACAATATCGTCATTAAACCTGCAGACAAAGGCAGTGCAGTGGTTGTCATGGATAAATCTGCCTATATTCAAGAGGCTGAACGACAACTTGGCGATGCAAGGTTCTACCAAAAACTAGACTCTGATCCTACAACATCTTTTAGCAGAGAAATAACTGATAGTTTGGTAGAAATGCACAACGATGGTTTCATCGATGAAAAGACTCTAGAATATTTGAAACCAGAAAATCCAAAACCGGGCAGATTTTATCTTTTACCTAAAATTCATAAGGCCAATAACCCAGGAAGACCTATAGTTTCAGCGAACGGTCATCCGACGGAAAAAATATCGGAATTCGTTGACTTCCATCTTCGTCAACATGTTGAGGACTTACCATCTCACATCAAAGATACTACCGATTATCTTAGAAAATTGCAGGCCTTAAATCCACTCCCCTCCGACACGACACTTGTCTCTATGGACGTCACCTCCCTCTACACGAATATTCCACATGCAGATGGCATTGATGCATGTAAAGAAGTTTGGAATTCCCGACCAGTGAAATATCCACCTACTGAATGCCTGGTCAAAATGCTCACGCTGGTACTCAAAAACAACAACTTCACTTTTGATGGAGACCATTATCTGCAAGTTAATGGAACTGCTATGGGCACCAAAATGGCTCCATCATATGCCAACATATTTATGGGCAAATTAGAAAAACAACTCCTTGAATCTTCCACCGAAAAACCGCTTTCCTGGTTTAGATTTATAGATGATGTGGATATGAAATGGAATAAAAGTGACGAGGATTTAGATACATTCATCACTCATGCCAACAACATACATCCAAGTATCAAATTTACTCATGAGAAATCTAAATCCAAAATCACCTTCCTCGATACCTCCAGCTCGCTCACAGATGGCATCATATCCACTGATCTATATTCTAAGCCTACTGACACTCACCAATATCTGTCCCCTAAAAGTTGCCATCCTGCTCATTGTACTAAGAGCATCCCGTACAGTCAGGCACTCAGAGTCAAGCGAATATGTTCCAACTCAGAAACAACTAAAAAACAACTACGTCAACTCGAAACCCGCTTGAAGAGAAGGGGCTACAAACACAAAACTATCCAAAAAGGCTTTCAAAAAGCGGAAACTATTCCAAGGAGTAAACTGTTAGAATACAAATATAAAAAGAAAAATAAAAGGACTCCATGTGTTCTTACTTACCACCCATCTCTCAAAAACAGCTTCGGTGTCATTCGTGAGCATTGGAAAACAGTTGAAAAGAATTCCAAACTATCCAAGATTTTTCCCGAGCCTCCCATGATAGCTTTTAGGCAACCCAATAGTCTGCGTAACCTGCTGGTGCGGGCTGAAGTGTCTGATAACAGAAGTACTTCTGGAGAATGTCGTTCGTGTGATGAAAAACGCTGCAAATGCTGCCTACAGATGCATCACTCATCAACTTTTCACAGTAAGGCAACCGAAAATAACTATAAGATATTTTGCAATGTTAACTGCAAAAGTATGAATGTTATTTACATTCTAGAATGTTCGGTTTGTGGCCTCCAATATGTTGGTGAGTCAAAGCAGCCTTTCCACAAACGCCTCAATGGCCATAGGAGTGATATCTCTAAGAAGCCACTTCTCCCAGTTTCTCAGCATTTCAGACAATCTGGTCACACACTTGATGACTTTAACCGCATGAAGATCCTAGTGATTGAACAGAACATTCACTGGAGTGATGCCCAGCGACAGGTTCGGGAAAGCTTTTGGATAAAGGAACTAAATGTACATCATCCAAACGGCATCAATAAAAAATACTAAGTTTTATTTTTTACTCATTTTGGGTTGTAAATATACACAGTCACGTATATTTGAGTATTGAGTTTTGTTTTATATTATGATGTTCAGGATTTTGGATTAAATCAATAGACCAAAACTTACCTGTATTATTGAGCTATTTTTATACATATTATCAGTATTGTTAAAATAATTGACACCAAAGAAGGCTATTTGTTAAGCCGAAATATTTGTCAACACGATTTATTAACAACATCTTCGTATAATACCATCTTATATTAGTATCATTGTGCAAATCTCTAGACTTATATAATTTGTTTCCTTATCTGCACAGTATCGTCTATTCTAGACGATCCGGTACATAGTAAATTTGCTGGTTGGTCCTTTTTATAGACTTCTATATATATATATATATATATATATATATATATCCAGAGAGAGAAATAAACATAAAATGATTTGCAGACCAATGAGTCTTTTAAAAAGTTGCTTTTCATGTCAGAGTTGTTTATTTATTTTATTTTATCTTTTTTCTTTTTTTGGGCATGAAATAATACAAGCTTCTATGACCTTATTTCTCTAAAATTGACACTCCAGGGACTTTTTTTTAGAAACTTGTTTGCAATACAGCCTGGTTAACAAATATGTTTTGTTCAAATTAGTCATGTGTTTTGTCAAGGTTTTCAGGTAGAATTTTATATTCACATATGATCAGGAGATAAAGATTTCTTTTGACATCAGTCACAAGGTTTTCAGGTAGAATTGTATATTTACCTATGATCAGGAGATAAGGCTAATCCTATGATATGACCATGCATGTCTATAACTTTATCAAGTTTATCATATGCTATAGATTCCAATGCAGGAGAATTGAATTCAATATCTGGTAAAAGTGGTCTTTCATCTCCCAATATCTTTTCCAATGGCTTAATTCTCTTAATTCCAATCTGATGTGGTGTGTATGTCTTAGAACCCTGTGTAAATATTAAGAATTTATCTAAAATGTTCCCTTTCTGTGGACTAGAAGAGTCAGCAGTTATAAAGTTTGGGTAAGTTATGCTTGTATCTCCCATATGAAGAGAAGACGTAGGATTCCAATCATCCAATGCCACCCTGTGGTCATTACTCCTAAAGAAATGTGACTGGATAGGTGAACCAAATGTGGCTCCATCTAAGTACATGCCACCATGGCAGGAACATGAACTCCCACAGGCACACTGACTAGAACTGGAATTCTGAGCGGAGTTGTTTCTGTTAGATGTATCAAGGATCGAACCATTGGTAGGATTAACTGAATTACCACTAATGGAAGTATCTATTGTTTCTGAAGACAAAGAGACACATTTAGTTGTTTTTTCAACTAGTTTATCTACATCCGGCATAGAGATATCTTTATCCTCAGTGCCTCTTATCGGATTTTGATTATTCAAATTAGGCATTTCATTGTCACTTAGCTGTCTAATCAAATCATCTTCTGAAAAAGAACTGTGATTACTACTACACTGATTTGACATTTTACTGTTTTCAGACTTTTGAGGAAATTTCTTATGACTTTTCTCAGCATCACGATATTCTTGTTTATACTCAATAGTTCCTAGAAATTTCTCTTTATTTTTCTTAGCAATTTTGGAAGAGCTCTCATTATTGTCTCTTTCAGTTTTATCCTGTACACGTTTGCTCCCTTTTCCAGTCTCTTCTTTGTCATCTGTTTCCATGACCTCTCGACAGCTAGCAACCATAACAGTCCGAACTGAACTAGCATTAATATTTTTCAGTTTATATAATCTCATCACCACTGATTCATGTTCATTTTCTGTGTCTTGAAAAGCCTGAAATAAATGCAAGTTATCTACAGAATTTTGATACTGTAAAACATTATTCTAGAGTAAATATTTTAGAAGAATTAATACAAGAATTCAAATATTCAAAAATATTCAAAAAGTGACTGAACAACACATTTATTCATGAATTAGTATATAGCAAGAGTGACTTATCTAGGTTGTTCAGTCACAGGTTAAAATTTTTGGATGTTTAAATTCTTGGATAAGTTATTCTTTTCATTACATTGTCTTTTAATGTAAATAAAGTAGACCATGCAAGGAACTATATTTTTTTAACCCGTTCTCCAAATACGTTTTTATGTAATGTCATTGACAACACCTATTGTTGTATGACATCAAAGGAGTGAAATTACATGGTTTCTTACACATGTGATATTATCATGTTTTATTTGACTGAGAAATCACTGCATTACACTGTAACTAATGTAAAAAATATACATATTTTCTGTGTATTCATTATTATCTGTGGGGTACTAAATTTTGTGAATATACTTGAACCATAAATTTCAGTGTTTAACAAAATGCAAGTTTCCTTTAAGACTTATATAAGTGCCCATGAACAGAGGTGGATTAAGGGGAGGGGCCAGGTTGCCAGGGCCCCCTTTATATGAAGCTACATATATGGTTAATGCTTAGACCTTTTACATGTCCAACTCCAAACATTACTTACTTTGGGGACCCTCTCTGGGCCCCCCCCTTTTCAGAATCCTAGATCCTCATCTGATGAAAATAAATGGTTCAACACTCAACAGTATTGTTTTAATATCATGTGTTGGCAAAGTTGAATATTGCATATTTCTAATTATAATTTTGGATGCCAAAGTAAAATGTAATGAGTTACATATTCCTCCCACCATTGCTAGCTGGATATAGATACTGTCTGATGTAATTTTTGTCCAAACCAATCAGTTGGCAAAATGTAAATGTTTAAAAGATTTAAGATATATTGAATAGATAAACAGATGGTCATAAGATTCATCAAATCATATTACAGTGAAGGCTGTTAACGTTATAACCAAAACTTTTGGGACTAAATTGTTTTCAAATTAGACAGGTTTTCTGCTTAAACAGTTAAAATTGCTAATGTTAATTAATTGTCCTCATTTCATAGATTCCATCTTTAATAAAACCAATAAGCGAATCTATTGCTACATGTTTAGGGTCCTTACCTTGGTCCCCTTTAGTAGGGAAAATGAAATTCAATTTCAAAACAGAAACAAAAGACAAAATCAAAGTGTTAAAATACAAGATATGGTTATAATCTCAATTCAAATTTCCAATGGAGTTTGCAACCATAAAAACCCATTTAAATACATCATAAAAGTATTGAAATAGAAAATGATATACATAATCATAGCTAAAATTAATATACCTTCATCAGCATTTAATAGCAACTTCTAAAAATTAATTGACAGCTAATCACCTCAAGACAATACAACATTTCTTTATAACAAAACCATTGTAAGGGAGGTAACTCCTAATGCTAAAAAAACCCCAAACTAATGATATTTATCACAAATAAACAATTCTGAATATGAAAATTTATTACCTCTGAACCCTTTGATATACACTATTATTATATTATATATACTCCCACCACAGTATTTGATGTTTCTAGAAACAGCTAAAAAATAATTCATACTAGAACTAGCTGACAACTTTAATTTACATAAATTAAAAGCAATGTAAGGGAGATAATTCAAATATAACATTTTTGTAATTATTATCTTTTAAATTTTATTTAATGTTTATTAAATCAAACAAAACAAATTTTATAGCCTTAGGACCAAAATTTGGGCCAATTAGAAAATGGGCCCAACAACCAAACACACAGTTAGATTCAGCATATGAAAAAAATTGTAATACTAATAGCATGAAAAATTGTAATACTTATAGCAAAAAGTCCCAACATAAAGAATCAAAGCTTTCTCAAATTCAAAATCCCAAAATATTGTTCTCTTCTATATACTGTAAATTATCATGAATCAATCGAATGCTATCCCTTATATAATGCTTAATGGTCCAATATCTATTTCATAGAGATCCAAAGACCAATACTTAAGTAATAGTCCATTAACCAGGAAACCCTTGTTTTTCCCCCCTTTTTTGCGCCTAATTCTTAACGGTTTGAGCCATAACCCCCCAAAGCCAATCCTAACCATCCCTTTGTGGTATGGAAACTTGTGGTATAATTTCAGAGAGATCCATACACTTTTCCACAAGTTATTGTCTGGAAACTAGAAAAATGCTTATTTGGGCTCCTTTTTTACCCCTTATTCCTAAACTGTTGGGACCATAACCCTCAAAATCAATCCCAACCTTCCTTTTGTGGTTTTAAACCTTGTATTTAAATTTCATAGATTTCTATTTACTTATACTAAAGTTTATGTTCAGAAACCAAATGTCTTCGGACGACGCTGATGCAGACGACGTGATACCAATATATGACCGCAAAATATTTTGCGGTCATATAAAAATATATAGGACTAATAAAGGCCAGAGGCTCCTGACTTGGGACAGGCGCAAAAATGCGGCAGGGTTAAACATGTTTTGTGAGATCTCAACCCTCCCCTATACTTCTAGCCAATGTAGAATAAACAAACACACAGCAATACCCACAGTAAAACTTAGTTCAAAAGAAGTCTGAGTCTGATGTCAGAATAGGTAACAAAAGAAACTAAGCAAAATGACAATGTTACATAAATTAACAAAGGACTACTAGCAGTTACTGACATGCCAGCTCCAGACCTCAATTAAACTGAATGAAAGATTATGTCTTCATCATATGAAAATAGTTATTTCCCATATTAATAACTAAATAGAAGAACATGATTGGAACTGCCCTTTCTGGCCAATAGATGAACATATGATTGCAATTCTATCATAGGTATCTCCCCTATGTAACTTACCTTATTAAGCCATAAAACAGAACAAGACTGTAATTGTCCTGTCCAATGAAGGCTTCCAGATACTAAATGACTATCATTATACCAAGTACCAAATACATCATATGGTTTGTTGATAACACGAGCTTGTAGTTCAAAATTACCTAAAATACAATACAAAAACATTAAGGAACAGAAACATTACAGTGTTGCTTGATATATAGTTGATGCACAAATCATTTCATGTGAGAGGTGTGTGTGATTAATGCTCCTTATGTCATCTAGTTCAAAGTTCCGTTTCATAGCTCACAGTAATCAATATAAAAATAAGGAGATGTGGTATGATTGCCAACGAGATAACTATCCACCCAAGTTAAACCCACCAGATTTTAGCCCTCATCAAACAAAATACTTGCTGTGTATCACACACCTAATATATAATATTCTTTAGAGACAAGGTGCACAAAACAAGCAAATAGAATGTATGAGGGATACCAAATACCAATGGTATATAATTGATATTTAATCATTAAAATATTTTTATCAGACAGAACATAAATTTTACAGTCTTATTAGGAGACAGGTCCTCCCATACTTCAACAAATTGAGATGAACAGATGCTGATACAATGGTTTACAACCGTAAGTTGAAATATCAATAAGTCCAAGGGCCAAAACAAAGTAAACAGTTTCTTGGAAAAACTAACATGTGATCAGTTGCTGATTGTTGAATATTGTGAAAATCAGCAATTGCTGAAGATATCAATATAACTCTAAACTCACACCTCCCTGTAAGTTTGTTTAAGGTGGTACCAAACACCTTGACTAAAATTAATTTGGCTTGTTTAATTTTCATAAAATTTTGACAAAATATTAACTTTGACCCTTTGAAAAAAATATAAAAATTTCAAAAAACTTGAACCACACACTTTATTGGAAAATTTCATTGGATATATAGCAGTTTGACAAAGACTAATTTTGATCATTGAGAAGCTTAATATTTCCTTAACAATAGAACCTGATTAAAACGTTCAGCTGATTTTAACAGAGTTATCTCCCTGTAGTGTTATGTACCACCTTAAGACATCCTTTAGAATTAATTTGAGAGTAATTATTTTTTACATGTGGATTATGCTACAAGTACATTTCAGGATTAAAGTATAATATTACTACACAATTTCCAGTGAAAGTACATCTAATTTATATTTATTTGTACTCAACGTGCATTGTTTATACATTTGTATATGAGAATAAAATGTTTTTTTATTCAAAAAAAATTATACGAAATAGTTGTAGCTGTTGAGACCAGTGTAGGAAATATACAGTAGCTTGCTAATAACTGATATGCTATGAAGATCTCAACATATCCAGGGCTACCTAAGCTTGGCAAGTCTATCCAAAACATAGCTATAAAAAAAGACTAATTCTGGAAATGTTCTTAAGAAAGGGTATTTATCAATTTAAAATAACATTACACAGATTAATTCAATTCATTTGAGGTGTTGCTTTGCCAATTTTAGTTTAAATCAAAAATGAACCTAAGTTGTACTTTATAGATACTGTAATAAGCTGTTTCATAATCTAAATGACTATGGGTAATTTGTACCCCAAAATGAAATTAATGTCTTGAATTTCCATTGTTTAGAATGTTGAATCATTCACTACATTTTGTTGTATCTATACTACTAAAATAATGAGGTCCAATTTGTAAGCCAACATGACGTAAAAAACAACGAATAAAAAAATTCAACTTTATATATAACTAATAAAGGACAATAGTGTTGATTAAAATTACACCGTTCCAGGCCCTTTTGTTCTCCACATAATTTATATTACCAATTATTAACAAGTTCCGGGTCGAATCCACTATCGATACCAATAGTATATGTCACATGTAGTTTCTGGTTGCAGTAAGAAAACCATTATGGCTTCAAACAGAAAGATTTTGAAAGCAGAGAAAACTGTGCACCTTATAATTAGCACGACTTTATCAGATGACAATACAAATACTAAAAATCCAAACTAAAAATAAGGTGTAGGTACTTTAAATTCAGTCACGGACACGCCATGTCGCGGGTGTGTTCTAGTGCTTTTGAATATATTACCAAAAATGCATTAGATTCTGAAAGGTGAATTGTATAATAAATATTCCAAACCCTGTAGTGAAAACACAGCTATTTCTCCTGATGTGCTGTTGGAACCAAAATGAACCCCAGAAACTAGCAGAAGTGTATCACTCTCATTGAACTGTGAGAACTGTGTATACTTCCAAGTAAAACGTTTCATATTCTCCTTATACTTTAGGGATATAGGATATGTTGTATTCCAAACCTAAAATGGAAAAAAAAAGCACAATTCTAAAACATGTTAAAATCATCTACACAGTTTCGCTGAGCACTAACAGAAAAAAAAACTTCAATCACACAGTATCATAGTCCCACACAAACAGTGGAAAAAAACAAATTAAAGCCATATTTAATATATTTAGTTTTTATACACAAATCATGGCCAGTGAGATATATAAACCTAAAATTAAGACATTATTGAAATGCTGGAATTATTTTTAATGCTGTCCTAAAGTTTAGGTTTGCTAACAGATATATTGTTTAATTGGCATTCTAATGGGTACTAATAGTGCATGAATCCTTGCATACCTATTTCTTACATCATATTAAGCAAAATGTATTTATGAGCTATTGCAAAAATGAATTCAAAAAGCTAGCACAGTGCTTCAACTTTCTTCTATTAAGTTATGAACTTTCTTCAAATAAGTTTAAGGTTATATACACATCTTCAAAACAAAAAAGCTAACAAGAAATCAGCTCTCAAATTGACAGCAAACCTAGTTATTTATAGTTTGAAGGTAACAAATGTTGAACAAGGCAGCTAGTAAGAATGAAAATGTTGTATTCTAATGTTTTCATGCTTGTTTGACCTGCCACATTCTGTGCCTATTTTCCAATCTAGCAATGATCATATGTCCTAAACATGCTAAATGGTACAAGTAAAATAGTCAACATCTGAATATCAAACTTGACCTCCATTTTTTCATCAGTAACAACATATCAAAATTTGAAAAGCATTGATATAGTTCATAAGTTATTGCACAGAACGACACAGAGAGCCATTTTTTAATCTACCAAGGACCATTATTCATGATAGGCTACTGTGAAAATCATACATATTAAAGTTGACCTCCATTTTGTCATAAGTAACTACACATTAAACTTTGAAAACCATTGGTTGAAAGGTTAATAAGTTATTGTACAAAACCTAAAGAAGGTGTCATTTTCTGATCTACCAAGGACAATAACCCCTGAACAGTAAAAGTGAAATAGTCAATTTCGAACTTGACCTTTATTTTGAAATCAGTAACACCACATCAAAATTAAATTTTGAAAAGCATTGGTTGAAAGGTTCATAATTAATATAAGTTATTGCACAGAAACGACATGAAGTGCCATTTTCCAATCTACAATGTATCAAGGACTATAACTACTGAACAGTAAAAGTGAAAATCATTCATATTAAATTTGTTATAAGTAACAACATACATGTATTAAAATTTGAAATTCAATGGTTGAATGGTTCATAAGTTATTGCACGGAAACTGTAAGCCACCCTTCACAATTTTAATAACAAAGATTTTTCCTGAAACCCAGTAAAAAATCAAACACCACAAAGTATAAGTCAAACTCTCATTTATACCCTTACATGTAGAATAGACATTCAGCACAAAACTTTATGACTAATGAAATGATCTGTTTTCAAATAGTAATTTCCTTTTTTCTAAGAAGCAACAAGAATCAACTATGTTACAGTGTATGATATTAATATCAGAGTTGACTCCCTCTTTCAGAAATTGTGGTCATGACAGCAACTTCCTGGATAGAGCACAATCATTACAGAACTGAATGTTGATTTTTTCAAGTCTTAGGCAATGTGTATGCAAGTGACCTGGCATATTTCCCATGAAGCATGTTGGAAATTCCTGCTTCAAATTTCTATACATTGTATAAAAGTGAAAGAACAGGGTTCCAAAGTCCCTGGCATTGCCCATATTTTATGTGTCCAAGGGCGATAACTTAAAAAAAACTTCTTTATTATTCGTTCTTTAAAACTTTTTATAAATATCTTAAGCTTAGAGGAATGAAGTCTTGAGAGAAATTGCAATTCAATTTCTGAGATAACTAATACTTCCAAAGGGCACAATTCTTACAAATATTTCATCAGCACTGATTTTCGAAAATGTCCAAGACATTGCTGATATAGACCTTTGATATAAATTTGATAAAAATCTGGCTAAAATATAAATTATTGTCCGAGACATCATGGACATTACTAATATAAACCTATAATATATGTTTCATAAAAATCTGGTAAAAATTGTACACATGAGAGCTCTAACAATGCAATTTCCAAGGTGCATAACTCTTTTGAAAATAATTGATCTATATTGATTTTCGAAATTTCCTAAACATTGTTGATATAAACCTATGATATAAGTTTTATAATAAACTGTTAACACAAAGATATGTCTCGCCTATTTGTTATTTTGATAATGCAAATGTTGAAATTAAAATAGCAATACTTTAACATGTAAGTTATGCAAATATTCAAAGTCAATGAACCATGTACCTTACAGGGCTAAACAATCTCCATGGAAATGAGATGTGCCAATGCTAATACAACTCCAAACCAAATACCATTGACTTTTCATAAGTCGTTCCCTTTAAACAAACCTAAACACAAACATTAACTTGTAAACTATGTAAAAGTTTCAAAGTCAATGAACCATAATTAGGGGGTGGGGTTATATAATCTCCATGGAAATGAAACTTCCAAATGCCAATACATTTGCATGCTGAATATCATTGACTTAACATTAGTGGTTTATCTTAAACTGACCTAACCACAAGCTAATACATGTAAACTAAGCAAAAGTTTCAAAGTCAGTAGACCATGACTGAGGGGTAAGGACCAAATATAATATTCTCCATGGAAATGAGATGTGCTAATGCTTATACAACTGCATACCAATTATCATTGACCTACCACTAAGGGTTCCCCTTAAACTGACCTAATCACAAACTAATACATGAAAACTAAGCAAAAGTTTCAAAGTCAATAGACCATGAATGAGGGGGCGGGGCCAAATAATCTCCATGGAAATGAGATATGCCAATGCTTATACAACTGCATACCAAATATCATTGACCTACCACTAGTGGTTCCCCATAAACTGACCTAATCACAAACTAATACATGTTAACTAAGCAAAGTTTCAAAAAAAATAGACTTTGACTGAGGGGGCGGGGCCAAATAATCTCCATGGTAATGAGATGTGCCAATGCTAATACAACTGCATACCAAATATTATTGACCTACCACTAGTGGTTCACCATGAACTAGACCTAATCACAAACTAATACATTGTTGAAGCCGCCGCCGCAAACAGCATACCTATGTCTTGCTTTTTGACTCTGTCAAGGTGAGACGAAAATCTGGCAAGAATTGTACACATAAGAGCGCTAACAAGACCTGACAGACAGACGCACTGACCAAGTCCGGTATTTTTTCTATTTCCCCCTTAACACATTGTGCGGGGTATGATTACCAATGAGACAACTCAAAACCAGAGAACAAATGATGTAGAAGTTAGCATCTATTTGTCACTGTACAGCCTTCAAAAATGAGCAAAACCCATACCATTCTTAATGCTTAAATACCATTCTTCATGCTTAAAACTTAAATCTGTATTCAATCATCATATTTACTATGAACTATCTTTATTATTATATACATGTACCATCTATATATACTGAGGTAATTATGATAAATTGTAATAAAACATCAAGAGTGTAAATTTAATTGATGCACATGTTGTCTACAGTGGTCAATGATGGTAAAAGCTTCAAAATGATATCCAGTGAGTTTTACATTACATAAAAGCTTGAAAAAATACCATGTGAAATATGTTTTAGCTAATTGAAAAAAAATGTTTATATATATATATATACATGTATACTGATAAAATGTACAACTAAAAATACTGTATAAAAGTGGATATTTTTATTTTTTCTGGATTTCAATGCCAATCTTTCAGGCAGTGGTAAAATTTGGGTATCAACTATAAGATCCCTCTCTACATCGTTATTGTTGCTTTATTCAAATCCTTAGTTCAAGGGATATTTTCACATATTTTATGTGATTGTGAATTAAATGAAAATAACCCCTGTGAGAAATTTTCATGTAAAGAGTAAGCATGGTATTGGTACATTGTACGTGTAATATCCATCCATAACTTATATGTTTATCATCTCTACCACAATCACCCATTGATCATCAAGTCTTATCAAGTGAGTTGCTAATCATAATATCAATCCACACTTTAGGTTTAACTACATTTCTCTAATTCTTCGTCAATTTATCCCTTTCTGCACCCATTGTATAAAAAAAATTTAATCAACGTGTGGTTCGTTTGATCTCAGTTCTTCATTGGTTAAAATCCGATTATGACGTCGAATTTTCTTGCTTTCCTCTGAATTTCCTATTGTGACGGCATGAAAAAAGGCGACCATGTCTGATGACGTCACATAGAAAATACACATCTTTTTGCGATCATTCAAAAAGAAAGAATAAGTTTGCCTACATATTGTTTGAAAATCATTAGAGAAACAGATTCCACCACCAAATCTCGTGTAATATGATATTTATCCACTCTCGAGAGTTAAATTTTAAATATTTAAAACGCTCGGCGAGCCTCGCGTTTTAAATTTGAAAATTTAACTGTCTCGAGTGGATAAATATCGTATCACACTCGATGCAGTGGTAGAATCTATATGTATCCAACATTAATCATATCATATATTCATCAAAAAGGATGTAAATGTAAATACCTTAATAAACCCGTCTTTTGAACTAGTAGCAAACATCTTTCCATTGTGTGAGAAGCTGACATGTAAAACTTGATCTGTATGTTGTCTGATCACTTCACTCTCTACAGCAGGGGTGTGGTAATGAAGACGTTTATATTCCTGTAACCAAGATGACATTCCAGGTGCCATTGGTATATTTTTATCAATTTTCCAATGCCTGTAAAATACATCCTTCCACAGCAGTTCATCTCTGCTTACTCTGTACCAGCATCTAAGAAAGTATACATGATCTTTGTTAAACCTAAGAAAGTATACATGATCTTTGTTAAATCTAAGAAAGTATACATGATCTTTGTTAAATCTAAGAAAGTATACATGATCTTTGTTAAACCTAAGAAAGTATACATGATCTTTGTTAAACCTAAGAAAGTATACATGATCTTTGTTAAACCTAAGAAAGTATACATGATCTTTGTTAAATCTAAGAAAGTATACATGATCTTTGTTAAATCTAAGAAAGTATACATGATCTTTGTTAAACCGTTGCCTTAAGTAGAGATATTAATAAAGTTTTCACCAGAATTTCCCTATTTGGGCTCTGGAGTCTATCTAATACAAACAAAAATGTTCAAATGACAGTTACCAGTATCCATAAAAAAAAATTTACATTTGTTTATAGAGTCAATTTTTCAACTCGATCTTTTTTTTTGTTTGTTCCTTATAATTACCTGCACACTTGAGCAGCCTGTAGCAATGATGCTGCTGGGAGGAAAGAAAATATGTGGAGTATAATATCATCAGGAATACTTTCCCAGATACAGGCTATAGGCATATCATCCATTAGTCATGTTGGCAAGTCCATCATTAAAAAAATACTTCTTTCTGAAAGAGAAGCAATAATTATTAATAATAATAAAGAATTTATCGTTTCTTGCTAAGCTATGCAATTCTTCTTCTCAATTAAAGTCATTTCAAATATTCATAATCTTAGGGAAAAGTAATACACTTCAGGGCTGCCAAAAACCTGGGTTTTATGAGTCTTGCCCAGCCCAGTGGAAAATACTGTACTGGGTTTTACTGGGCAATACTGGGTTATATGAAATACTGACTGGAATCTTAGAGGATTCAGTGGTAAATTACTAAAGCAATACATAAAGATATAAAAAAGACATAGTATTTTAATTAATAAGTTCACTTAAGCTTGTTTGAGACTCTTGTTATAAAGTGTGTAAATCTGAAAAAGTATCAATCCAGCAATTCAACTCTTAAGACATACATGAAGACACATAGAGCTTTCTCGATAAGATTTATAGATGATATTCCTAAATATTTATAACAGTAAATTACCATTTTGTCTAAATTGGTCCAACTGTTAACATGAAGTAAAAGAATTTGATTTGTGAATTTTTTGTCAAGCCTTCGACTTTTGTCGAAATAGCGAGACATAGCGATCTTACATTCCGTCGGCGTCGTCGTCCACAAATATTCACTCTGTGGTTAAAGTTTTTGAAATTTTAATAACTTTCTTAAACTATCCTGGATTTCTACCAAACTGGGACAGAAGCTTGTTAATGATCATAAGATAATATTCAAAAGTAAATTTTGTAAAAAAAAAAATCCACTTTTTCCGTATTTTACTTATAAATGGACTTAGTTTTTCTGCCAGGAAACATTACATTCACTCTGTGGTTAAAGTTTTTGAAATTTTAATAACTTTCTTAAACTATCCTGGATTTCTACCAAACTTGGAAAGAAGCTTGTTTATGATCATAAGATAGTATCCAGAAGTAAATTTTGTAAAAAAAAAATCCATTTTTTTCTGTATTTTACTTATAAATGGACTTAGTTTTTCTGCCAGTTAACATTACATTCACTCTGTGGTTAAAGTTTTTAAAATTTTAACAACTTTCTTAAACTATCCTGGATTTGTACCAAACTTAGACAGAAGCTTGTTTATGATTTAAAACTAGCATATAGAAGGAAATTTTGTTAAAATTTTGTTCCATTTTTTCCGTATTTTACTTATAAATGGACTTAGTTTTTTTTCCAGTTAACATAACATACAGTCTGCAGTTTTAAGTTTTTTAAACATTTATTAGATTCATAAACTATCCTAATTCTTACCAAACTTGGACAGAAGCTACTTACAATCAAAAGATTGTATAGAGAGGAATATTTTTATTAATTTTTTTCCTCATTTTTGTCGAGCCTGCGATTAACAGCAAAAGTAGGCAAGACACTGGGTTCCGCGGAACCCTTACGAATTTTATTAATATATATATAACTAATATCAAGAATAAACAATTAATTATATGTAAGGAAATTAACAATTTTTTATCATTAATTGAGTCATTGCTAAAAAAAAGGTTTACAAAGTTTTAGCACACTAATATGTACATCACTAATAAATAAGTACAGTGTAATTATTCAGATTATAACACAGATTTGTTTATATATATCAATAATCAGCCTTTCATCTTGACATGTTCCCTAAGGCTGTTTATTTAGCAATATGATTGCATAAAAAATTATATTTACAATTCACTAAAATACTGCACTTAAAAAAATTGGGTTATTGAAACATAGCTTGGAAATAAGCAACGTATCCAAAAATGTTCAAAACAATATTGTATTCTGTGCATGCCTACATAGAATAATTGGAGAAAAGGGAGAAATTGAATTTGAATTTGTAATCCTTTGAAAATGACTCTCAATGGATTAAAATGTATATATATTAAGCTAGATAATACTAAGAAACTACAGCATGTCTTTACAAATTTGTATAAGAATAAGCTTAAAAATCCTATTGCCCAATATTACCCATTTCTGGGAGTATTGCCCAGCAAGGGAAAACAGGGATTTCCCACCCAGGTAATACTTTGCCAACCCCGATACATTTACATTTTTTGTACATCATGTACATACATGTACCTATTGTGATCTTTTTTAATACATACATTGTACATGATTGAAGTATTGAACATCGCAAAGACTGGAGGCACTTGTAGAAAATATAAACATAGACTTTCAGTGTTCATGATCTACCACTGCAATGAGTACTTGAGTATATATACGCGTATCGCTCATAAGGTCAAGTATTCATAATCAGATACTCTAATAAATTGTTTTTGACATTTCCCTTTCAGAAATATTTCAACCTGAGAGTATATTGTTTGATATTTTCCCTTAATTTTAGCATGGAAAGTAATCACCATTCATGGTGAAAGCAATAAAATAGGTACATTGAAAACAGTACAGTAAATATTTCTGTTCCATTGTAAAATGAATAATAGCTATAGCTTGCATTGACAAATATTATATGCAGATATGACAAAATCTACTCTCTGTTCTGCTTAAGGAACATCAAAATATCAATCTGATTAAAACATGAAACTAGAGCTTCTCAAGAGCCTGTGTCGCTCACCTGTATTTACTGATGCTTTGGAAATCATGTAAAATAAGGTTAAAATCATAATAAATAGTATTAGATTTTAGATATTATAATGATATCTAAGATAATAACAAAAAACTGCAAAATTTCTGTAAAATTACTAACTCAGGTGCAGCAACCCAACAACGGGTTGTCAGATTCGTCTGAAAATTTCAGGGCAGATAAATCTAAATCTGATGAACCTTTTTGCCACATGTCAGATTTGGTCTAAATGCTTTAGTTTCAGAGATATAAACCAAAAACTGCATTTTACCCCTATATTCTATTTTTAACCATGTCGGCCATGATGGTTGGAAGGCGGGTTCATGGGACAAATTTTTAAACAAGATACCCTAATAATGATTATGGCCAAGTATGGTTAAATTTGTCTCAGTAGTTTCAGAGAAGAAAATTTTTGTAAAAGATTACAAAAATTTACGAAAAATTGTTAAAAATTGACTATAAAGGGCAAAAACTCATAAAGGGGTCTACTGACAATTTTGGTCATGACAACTTATTTGTAGATCTTACTTTGCTGTACATTATTGCTGTTAACAGTTTATCTCTATCTATAATAATATTCAAGATAACCAAAAACTGCAAAATTTCCTTAAAATTAACAATTCAGGGGCAGCAACCCAACAACGGGTTGTCAGATTTGTCTGAAAATTTCAGGGCAGATAGATCTTGACCTGATAATCAGTTTTATCCACGTCAGATTTACTCTAAATGCTTTGGTTTCAGAGATATAAGCCAAAATCTACATTTTGCCCCTATGTTCTATTTTTAGCCATGGCGGCCATCTTGGTTGGTTGACGGGGTAATCCGACACATTTTTTAAACTAGATACCCTAATGATGATTGTAGCCAAGTTTGGTTAAATCTGGCCAGGTGGTTTCAGAGGAGAAGATTTCTGTAAAAGCTAACGACGACGGACGAGGACAGATGACGGACACCAAGTGATGAGAAAAACTCACTTTGCCCTTCGGGACAGGTGAGCTAAAAAGGAGAATACATGTACATTGTAACTACACATTATATGGATAAGTTTCAACTTGATTTTATTTGTGTTAACTGACTGAGACTGGACTCAGGAATATTGCATTGAAACAGAAAGACATAAGAACAGGAGAAAATAACATGCCTACAACAAATATTATTATACTTTACTATAGCAACCACTTATAAAATAATAAAGATATTACTGTACGTTTTTTATTCCTTCAAGGAGAATACATGTAACCCCCTTTTCCATGGCGTAGGCAAAATAGCTGTTTGGGAATATGCCCCATGGCAAAATAACTGTTCCCAGAATATCCATGTGGCGAAAAATAACTCTTATACATTTGCAGCACAAAGCTAGTGACGTCAAATTGTTTGTAGACGTCCGGAAAATATGGAGGCTGCCTCAAGATTTGGCCAAACAATAATTATATCTTTGTATTCAGTTTGGTATAATAATACAGTTATCATGGTTTCGGCATTCATGAAAAGTTACAAAAAAAATGTAATATCCAAAATTATTAAAACTCGATAAGGTTATTATCCCACGGCCTTAAGGACCTTAAGGTCCTGTTTGAGCATTTTGTGTAACAATGGTAACTATGCAAAAATAATAAATTATTTCTAATTTTAGGGGAAATACATAGCATAAAACATGTAAAAGGCAACAAATTTAGGCTATCAGCTTTTCTGAATATCCAATGGTTTTTGAGATTACGGAAGATTTTGGTTTCTAGAGGGATCAACCTATTAACTTGTTTATTTTCTGATATAAAGATGCCAACCAAAAGTTGATACCTTATACAGTTATAAACAAAATTATGCTGATATGCTCTTGCAAATATTAGATTTTTAGCACTGTTCGTGTATATCACATTTCGGCTATTAAATGACAAACGGGTTATTACTACCCATTTGGGTGTCTAGTCAAAACCTGTTTACATAAGCTTATAATTTCACTTTCTATCCCATTACCCTGAATCGGCCCTCCTGGATGTCAAGTTCCAAGTGTAATATAGAAGTTCAGATATATGATCGACTGTCCAATATATCCAAAAGATAGAACAGTTTTATAACGTGGTGATCTATAACATCATAGGTGCAAGAGATGTAAATTATGTCTTTGTTTCCACTCTTGAGTCTGTTGATCGATTTATTTTACTTCCACCATTAATCAAGGGAGATAATAAAATATTGGGATTTGCTATTTTATGTCATGCTAATCCGGTTATTTTCATGGTTAGTGACGCATGTGCCTTACAGTATTCCAAAGCTTGTTTGATATTATTTATTCATTTGCACGCCGAATCATGAAATTGTATTCGTTACTTTATATGCTGTTTTTTTCTATTCGACCAAAATCTCATTGATCAGACCTTATATATGTTTAAAATGTTTGTTTTACTTAATTACTTACTTACTCATATTTATCCGGATCTATTATACTAACAATATAATATGTCCAAGCATATATGTATGAAGTTATGAATGAGTGAAAATGATTATTATTATTATTATTATTTTTTAATCATTTTAGTATTATCAGTATTAATAAAAAAGAATCTGAGTATAGCATGACTGAGGGGAGGAACGACAACGACACAGACAGACGGACATAACCATACTATGGCACGACAATGTATCCTGTGGTAAATCCCATTAACTAAATAATACGGTATCTATTTACAAGTTTATTCACAAATGTACATTACTTCAGACTTATTGACAAAGTTAGCTTACTTTAACTTTAAATAATACAAGTCCTCCAAAATTTTTACCGATTGAATACTTCAATGAAAAATCACAACCTTACAATATCAAAGCTGATACACAATCTACCAACATTTTGACCAACTGACCTGTATCAGAAAGTTTAATTACTTTCACTCTAGAGAAAACAAATAGGCATTCTCTGAACTAGTACGTACACATTTTTTTAGGGGCCAGATGAAGCCCGCCTCCGGGTGCGTGATTTTCTCGCTGTGTTGAAGACCCATTAGTGGCCTTGGGCTGTTTTCTGCTTTTTGGTCGGGTTGTTGTCTCTTTGACATATAATTTCCCCGTTTTTATTCTCAATTTTATAACTAAATTGTATTACCCTACACCCCAATACATCGTTACTTGTCTTAATTACATCTGGCGGTCCAACTGTAACTGTAGATAATAAAACTAGCCATTTGTCAAATAAACCTTGCGTCATTATAACAGTTATAAACAGTTAAAAAGCCAAATTAACAAGAGGTCAAATCAGACAATATTTACAAATCATTAAAACATTACATTGCCTCCCTTTTTGAAAAACATATGTCTCACATGTAAAAAAAAACCCCAACTTTAACCTTTTAAAGTATGAATTATAAAAATAAGGTGATGAGGTATGATTGCCAATGAAACAACTATCCACCAAAGTTCAAATAAAGTGGATGTAAGCAATTATAGGCAACCGTACGGCCTTCAACAATGAGAAAAAAACCCATACTGTATAGTCGGCTATAAAAGGCCCCGACATGAAAAATATGAAACAATTCAATTGAGAAAACTAACGGCCTAATTTATAACAAAACAATTGACGAAAAACAAATATCACAGACAAGAACCAATGACAACCACTGAACTACAGGCTCCTGACTTGGGACAGGCACATAAAGAATGTGGCAGGGTTAAACATGTTTGTGAGCGCTCAACCCACCCTCTAACCTGGGACAGTGGTTTAACAGCACACCATAAGGACAAACTATGAAAATTAGTTGAAAAAGGCTTAACTCATCATATTGATACAAAGCAGTAAAATATAAGACATAAACACAGACCGGACGTGGCAGGGTATTTTCATCCATCATCCCTAACAACAAAAAGGACATTAAGTACAGATCTGAGAGTACTCGCTAGTTCAAAGCCAATAACAACTAATTGAAAAAATCATGTATCTCAGACTAAAATATCAATCAGTACACATCCAACATCCAATGGATTTAGTGTAAAGACGTCATTAACAGTCAGAGAAAAACATGACCTTGTGAAATGCCAAAATAAAGGTATCGACAGATTGTAGTACCTTTAAAGTGCATATGTGTTATAACAAAACTATTTAGTATGATTTTAATTTACTGATAACAAAATCAATATTTATACCAATAAAACAATATTCAAAGATCTAATAACAGTGTTGAATTGGTAACCTTTTAGAATAAGTTTATTTACTGTGACTTGACTGTTAGTGTTGCTCTCCACCTATTGCAAATTATTCAATATTCTGGCCAAATTGCAATTTGTTTTATAAAACCAAACTGTTCAACTGGTCATGCTAAAGGTGAAATTTTGAATTGCTATAAAAATGTCCAAACTACGGTTTCATACAAATTTTCTTTCGAAAAGTCTTCTATATTCATAAGAATCAGACATTATTTGAATTAAAACATTTTATATTCAGTAAAAAATGTGTGAAATTACAATACGTTGTTAGGAAGTTTCCATGGGAGATAATCAATTTTTCTTTCGAAAAGTCTTCTGTATTCAAAAGAATAATGTTTTAGGTTATCTCCCATGGAAACTTATTAACAAGGTATTGTAATTTCAAACTATACAAACTGTTAGACTGATTTTTCATAATAACATTGAAGTGAAATTAAAGTCTTATAGGATTGTAAGTATGCTTTTTTTATCACCTTGCACTTTCACGATTTGACTGTGTATTTGACGGATTTATAAATTTCCGTGCTCGATAAACAACATCACGGTGACCGTAAAATTTAGGATGTGCTATTCCGTCTGAAATAAGTTTTTTACAGGTGCAGCCAAACTTGCAAACCAAATCTTTATATCTATGGAAGAATTTAGTAAAGGTATAAAGTAATTTGTGGACTGGTAACGAAATCCCTGACTTAATAGAATTCACCAGTAATACATAGATTACGCTCTTTCAAATCCAAAAAAAAAAATCCAAAGACCAATAAAATAAAATAAAAAAAAAACGCAATAAAATGTTCATGAAAAAACCAAAATGATTCAAAAATGTATCAAAAATATTTATATATAGTTCTATAGTACAATGGTTCTTCCTTCAACGCCCATGACGTTGTACAGCAAAATGATTATACCTGTAACATCCATAACGTTTTATAGTAAAAAATTTCTACCTGAAACGCTCATGACGTTGTATAGTACAATGATTCTTCCTGCAACGCTTATGATGTTTTATAGTACAATGTTTCTTACTGCAACGCTCATGACGTTGTATGGTACAATGATTCTTCCTGAAACGCTCATGACGTTGTATGGTACAATGATTCTTCCTGCAACGCTTATGATGTTTTATAGTACAATGTTTCTTACTGCAACGCTCATGACGTTGTATAGTAGAATGATTCTTCCTGCAACGCTTATGATTTTTTATAGTACAATGTTTCTTGCTGCAACGGTTATGACGTTCTATAGTACAATGGTTTTTCCTTCAACGCCCATGACGTTTTACAGTAAAATGATTGTACCTGTAACGGCCATAACGTTCTTTAGTACAATGGTTCTTCCTTGAACAGTCATGACGTTGTATAGTACAACGATCTTTCTGCAACCGTCATGCCGTTGTATAATACTATGTATCATCCTGCAACGCTCAAGGTGTTGTATAGTACCACACGCTTCCTGCAACGCTCATGACGTTGCAAAGTACAATGTATCTTCCTGCAATGCGTTAGTGATGTTGAATAGTACAATGATTCTTCCTGCAACGGTCATGACGTTGTATAGTACAATGTTTACTCCTGCAACGCTCATGACGTTGTATAGTATAATGGTTCTCCCTTCAACGCTCATGACGTTGTATAGTACAATAATTCTTTCTGGAACGGCCATGACGTTATATAGTACAACGCTTCATCCTGTAAGTCTCATGCCGTTGTATAGTACTATGTTTCTTCCTGCAACGGTCATGACGTCGTATACTAGTAGTACCATGTTTCTTCCTGCAACGGTCATGACGTTGAATAGTACAATGTTTCTTCCTGCAACGCTTATGATGTTTTATAGTACAATGTTCCTTGTTGCAACGGTTATGACTTTCTATAGTACAATGGTTCTGCCTTGAACAGTCATGACGTTGTATAGTACAACGATCTTTCTGCAACCGTCATGCCGTTGTATAGTACTATGTATCATCCTGCAACGCTCAAGGTGTTGTATAGTACCACACGCTTTTTGCAACGCTAATGACGTTGCAAAGTACAATGTATCTTCCTGCAATGCGTTAATGATGTTGAATAGTACAATGATTCTTCCTGCAACGCCCATGACGTTGTATAGTATAATGGTTCTCCCTTCAACGCTCATGACGTTGTATAGTACAATAATTCTTCCTGGAACGGCCATGACGTTATATAGTACAATGTTTCATCCTGTAAGTCTCATTCCGTTGTATAGTACTATGTTTCTTCCTGCAACGGTCATGACGTCGTATACTAGTAGTACCATGTTTCTTCCTGCAACGGTCATGACGTTGAATAGTACAATATTTCTTCCTGCAACGCTCATGATGTTGTATAGTACAACGGTTCTTCCTGCAACGGTCATGACGTTCTATGGTTTATTGGTTCTTCCTTCAACGCTTATGACGAGCATTCTTTCGGTATCATTTACTGTTGATTTACTTGTACCTGCTGTTTTTGGTCGTCTATAATACAATTGATTGATTGACTGTTAGTGTATGTTTATATATTTTTGTTTAAATGTCTTTTTGATCGAGTTAAGTCATTTCAATTGATAATTTATAGTGTGTCTTTTTATGTTGTAATGTTACACTACTGTCTCAGGTTAGGGTGACGGTTGGCGCCTGTTAAAACGTTTAAACCCGCTGCATTTTTATGCACCTGTCCTTAGTCAGGAGCCTGTTGTTCAGTGGTTGTCGTTTGTTGGTGTGGTTCATAGGTGTTTCTCGTTTCTCGTTTTTTAAATAGATTAGACTGTTGGTTTTTCTGTTTGAATTGTTTTACACTAGTCATTTTAGGGCCCTTTATAGCTTGCTGTTCGGTGTGAGCAAGGCTCCGTGTTGAAGGCCGTACTTTGACCTATAATTGTTAACTTTTTATTAGGGATGTCAACGAGTACTCGAGTATTCGAGTATCCCTCGGTAGTACCGAGTATCGAATACCAAAACTGTACTCGACTAATCGGTT